GGAACTCCCAGCTGCCCTCCAGGAGCTTCTAGTCCAACCCAGAAGATAAGACTCAAACATAAGCAACAAACATCTGATATGGGAAATGGGGGATGTGGTAGGGATTGTAGCAGAGAGCTACACTGGGGTACACCCCCATCCAAAAGCATCACTTGTACTTCAAGATTACTGGGGGATGCTTGGCTGGCATGGCTCAGGGGTTGAGCATCAACCTATGAACCAGGAGGTCATGATTCAATTCCCTTGTGGGCGTGCAGGAGGCAGCCAATCAATGATTCTCTCTTATCACTGATGTTTTTCTCTCTCCCTGTTCCTTCCTCTCTGAAATCAATAAAAATGTAATAAAAAATAAAATAAAAAGTGCTCACACGAAACATTCTAGAAAGAACTGCACCAACATGCTAAGCGCTGTTTGACTCGTCTTCTTTTAGGAATACTGCCGACTCTAATTGTTTCCACTTCTAATCGTTCTGTGCCTGTGGCAAGTGCAAATGTGCTTACAGAAGGGAAGTGGCAGCGGCCCCCTCCCTCCTCCCCACCCCGGTAATAAGGCCCATCCATGAAGACGGGTTTTTGGACATGTGGAGCTATGTGACCAACATTTCTGCAAACCACTTTTTCACTTAACCCACCAGGAACGTCTCTCCAAGTCAGCATACACATATCTGCTTGGCACTGCTCTTGCCCTCGTACAAAGCTGTCTTATAGATACTAACAAGGGAGAGGACAAAACTTAAAGATAACGGAGAAGAGAGAGGCTCTGTGCCCCTCCCCTCCCCCCCGTGGCTCCTCCTGGGCCACTCCGTGTACTTATTAGCCCAGGGAGGGGTGTCACCCACCCCGGCCTGGCTTGCAATCTGCTAGACAGAGTGCCCACCCCAAGAGTGCCCCACACTGAGGGATTCCCCACCCCTCCACATCCCGGCCAGGCTGGCAGTGGGCTGAAGGCTCACCTGGGCAAAGAGGTGGGCCCGCCTGCTCACGGTGAAGGAGTAGGCACTGGGCAGGCGCAGGCTGACCGGCAGCACCGACACGTTGAAGTGGAGGAGGAGGGTGCCCTCCCCAGGGCCCTGGAAGCTGGAGTCATTGACCAACACAGCCAGCTGCAGGGTGCGGCTCTCCGAGATGGGGAGGCTGCGGTTGAGGACCAGCCCTGCGGGGAGGGGGCATGGTGATGACGGCTCAGGCCACTGCACGCCTCCTCCCAGGTGCACACATTGCCCATACACGCACACGGTTGACAACACGTACATTCTCTCTCTCTCTCTCTCTCTCTCTCTCAAACACGTACCTTCACACACACACACACACACACACACACACACACACACACACACACATGGTGGGCAGGTAACAGACCTGGCGGCTGGCAACATGTTAGAACCCCTATTTAAATGTTAGCTGTTGTACTGAGCTGGAAAGTACTGTATGTACGAAATATGTGTGTGTGAGCGAGCGTGCGCACATGTATGGGTATGTGTGTGTCTGTGTGCAGGGTATATATGGAGTATGTATGTGTGTGTGAGGATATGTATTTGTGCAGTGTGTGTGTATGGAGCATGCGTGTGCAGCGTGTGTGTGGGGTGCGTGTAGAGTGTGTATGTATGGAGTATGTGGGTGGGGTATGTGTGTGGCGTGTATGTGTGTGGTGTGTATGTATGAGGTATGTGCATGAGGTGTGTATGTGAATGTGTGTGTGGTGTGTGTTGGGACTGTGTGTGTGATGTGTGGGCACACAAGAGGTCAAGACTGGCACCACTGAGGCCCTGGGCAGGCTGCGCTGGCCCTCCTGTCCCCTCCCCACCGAGAACTCTGGACAGCAGCAGCCTCCAGTGGGGCTGGACTCCCACCTCCCCCAGGCCTAGGAACCCTTCTGTGGGAAACTGTTTATTGCCTTCACTATCTGATAAGCATAGACAGAGAACCCCCCGAAATCCCCCAAAGGCTGGGTGCCTTTGAAGCCCTAGCAAAGGTCAGAGCTAGGCGCCACCTCTGTTTGTCCAGTCAGTGGTAGCTGAAACTACTCCCCCATTTATTATGTAAATCCTTGCTGATGGGTTAGTCTGCCTGTTGCCAGGGGTCACCTGCCTAAGGGCTATGCTATGGGTCCATCCCAGAATCAATAAAAGCTTGGTGAGGCCTGAGCAAGGAAGGAAGTCCTTCGGGACTTGCCGCCTGGTCCCCCAATATTGCAAAATTATCTCGTGTCTTTTTCTCTCATTTGTTGTGCGGCTCCTCTTTCACATACCGAACCCTACTCCACTCAGAACGTGGAGGGAGTCTTACTCGACAGAAAAACAGTTACAAAACTTGGTGCTTTAGATGAACTCAGGGTCATACTAATCTCATGAAAATATTAAGATTAATTTTTCTTGGCTCTTGCACGACACTAGTGTTATTCTGTTCACCTAGTCGAAAGATAGCCAAGTTTCTAATCCAGACTACTTCAAAGCACATAACCAATGAAGACAGAAAACTAGGAAGAGTGGAGATATGCTGAGGTCCAGCACATACATTAAACTCAATTCGATTCCTTAGCCTAATCAAAGTAACTTTGTTCAGTAGAGTACCAAAAGGTGCTGTTGACTCAAATAACTAAATAAATTTTGGAAGTTTTGAAGGATAACTCCCATTTTCTTATGGTCCCCTTCTGTTCCAAATGAGCATGCATTTCTAACTTCATCTAATTAAGAAATGTTTGTGCTTTCACAAGTTCTTATTCACTCCAAAAAAAATAGTGAACTGGGAACACTCTGAGAGGATGCTACTATTAAGTTAATAACATCTTCGGTGATCAGCCCCGGGCACACAGCCACTTGAAGGGCAGCAAAGTAGGTGCCAGGGTCGGAGGAAGGACTTAGGCAATGACGTGTAGTGGGCAGTGAGCCCAGGCAAGGTCAGCATGGAGAGGTGATGGGGCCCTGACAGGGGCATCCAGGGGGCAGCTCAAGAAGGGAGAGCAGCTTGTAAAAACCACCACAGTGGCTGCAGTGAGCCCAGCAGAGATGGGGGCTGGGCAGAGGGCTGTCTGGCGCTCAGAGGGCCAGGCTCGGTGTCAGTGTGTGCAGGGGGCTTCCCTGGCCAGGAACAGGGGCTGCCGGTTTCCTGGGGCCCTTCAGGCCACACCCAGCCTCTTACTGTAGTCATGCACCGTTGCCCGGATGAAACTGCCGTCGGCCTGGACCAAGGTCTCATTGGGTGAGTGCTCCACACGGAAGGTCTGGAGGGCCCAGGCATCTCCGGGAAGCAGCGTGCTTGTGTACCGCCTCAGGAGCTCCCCGGACGCTGGCACCACATCCGGATCGAAGACATGCAGGGTGGCCACCACAGTGCCCTGCAGGAAACAGGAGATGCCAGTCAGATCTCCTGCAGCCCGAGCGGAGGGAGGGCACGTGCCCTGCAGGTGGACTAGGCATGCACAGAGCTGGCTCTCGGACAGACTGACCTGAGTTCAAGTCCCCCCAGGGCCACTTGCCTAACTGGCCCAGTCACCCTTCCCGGGCCACTGTGCTCACCTCACCTGTGCAACAGGCGTGGTAGGAAGCTACAGACTTCCTGTAAAGGTGGGTGAGAGCAGATGCCCGGTGCTCTGCTGACGCGCCCCAGCCAGGTCCCTGCAGAGCACGGCGAATGCTCCTCTCCCCCGAGCCAGCCCCGCAGGGAGGAGCGTTAGCTCAGTGTCACAGGGCGATACACGGCGGCGCCGGAGCCCAGCCCAGGTGTACACCAGAATGCTCCCCTCCAAGCCTCTGGACCCCAGGCTGGAGAGGGCTGTGAGGACGGCTTCAAGCAACCTCACAGGACGTCTCTGCTAACGGAATTCCCTACGGTCACCCCAAGGCCGCCTGCCAGAGTCAGGGGAATTTCCTCACCAGATGTGCTTTCCTCACCAAACCCCGTCCTGCGGTGCCCAGAGAGGCAGGCAGACTACACACCCCCTGCCCACCCTGCCGCAGTGTTTGCCAGCCGGGTGGATGCAGGACAGCCTGAAGCCCAGCAGGTGGCAGTCACGCTCCACCTGTGCACCTGAGAGGGGTGGGGCTAGGATGGGCGGGGCAGACCCCAGAGCCCCCAGTCCTGCCTTTCTCCACCTGTGGCTACCTACGCTCCAGGGGCCTGGAAGCACTCCCGCCCCACCCCGTGCAGACTGAGTGCTGGTGGAAGGGAGCTCCGTCCAGCTAGCTGCTTTCCTCTCCCCTCCTGGGGGCACATGTCTGCCCCCAGAGGCAGGTCCTTAGCCTCATCCGCCTGCTGGAACACAGACTGTGTCCCCAGGGCCCTGGCCACCCCAGTCAGGAGCCCGCTGGGAGCTGGCCGGGTTACCCTGGAGGCAGGCAGAATGCCCTGACAACTGACACGAAAAACTAGAGGGATGGTCAGGCTGATGGCTGGATGGAGAAACAGACACTCAACAGATGGGCCGACAGACAACGGGCAAGCACACGGGGACACACCTTCTTCCGCTTGAACTCCACGACGGCACTGGCGGTGTCAACACCATCCAGAAAGGAGGGCGCTGAGTCGTCCTCGTCGTACACAGTCACGGGGAAGGGCACCATCACCTCCTCCACCTCGCGTGCGCCCATGCGCACTGTGCAGGCAGCCACCAGCTCATACTTCTCTTGGCGCTCGCGGTCCAGGGCCCGCCGTGTGCTCACCTCTAGGCTGTCGGAGGCGCAGCGGAAGGGCAGGTTCTCACCTGTGCAAAGCAGACCAGGAACCCCCAGTGTGACCCCGGGCTGGGGACAGGTTGCGCTGCGTTCCCAGGGCCCAGCAGGCGCGGTGCAGGGGAGCGGCGCTGTGGCTCAGCAGGGACACCGTCTGCAGGACTGTGTGCTCGTGAGCTTCCTGTGCCTGCAGCCATCAGTGGTGCTGATGGAGGACGAGGACTGGGAGGCCCGCCTCAGGTCCCATCCTCATCACCGCCCCTTTGCCCTCCTGGCCTGGGCTGTGGCTGGCATCAGCTCAGCCAGGCTGCAGGCCCAGAGATCCAGCTGCCAGAATTTGCTGCTTTTCAAAAAAAATGTTAGTTTGTTTGTTTTTTTAATGATGGAAGTAAAACGTGCTCATTTTAGAGCATGTGAGAAGTCAAGGCAGAATCCCACCACTAGAAAACAACACAGGGGACAACTAGTGAGGGATTTGCTGTCAACACACGCTATTTCCACTGCCAGGTTTGCATCCTGTTCTACAGCCCCTGGCTGGCTGGCTGGCTGGAGGCTGGTCGCTGGGTGCCTCAGTTTCCCCACCAGAGGACGAGCGGACGAGACTAACACGCCTGCTTCTCGCCAGGCACAGCTGTGCATTTAGTGACTCCTGCATCCTCCTGAAACCCAGCGCGGGGAGGGCCAGTAATGACAACACACTTTCCAACCCAAGTCTGTCCTGGGATTTCATCCTCCAGGAAAACCCGGAGACGGGGAACACTGAGGGCTGGGGGGTCAGCACGGAGGGTGACGTCACCACCGCTTGGTGGGAAATCACAGGTCTCTCACATCAGAGCCACATAGTAACATGTGGATGACACATGTGGGGAGTGCGTATCATACACTGTTTCCCTCTACTGTTATGGTTACAAAAATCATGCTCAACAAAGTTTAGTTATGTGATTCTCAGCCAGAAGGAGCAGCGCGCTAAACCATGTGCTTTGGGACAGTCTTGCAAAGATCTGTATCCCTGCCCCGGACAGATGCAAGGACGGGCAGTGTGAAGGACGGCTTTTATTTCACCGAGATTCCTCTGACGTTAGTACAGAGTGATACCCCTGGTGTGAACCCAGGTTCCGCGGACGAGCAGTCCAGCCGCCGTGTCCTTTTTCAGTGCCTGTTCCTTGTCTTTAAATGGTTTCTCACGTGTCCACTCAGCCACCCCCCTTCACCTGCACGGGGATCACAGCCAGTTGGCGGCAAGCAGGCCAGCAGGGAGGGGCCGTTATGGGTGAGCAGGCCAGCAGGGAGGGCATGTTGGGCTCCTCTTCTCCTCTGCACCCACAGGCAGCTCATCGGGAAGTCCTGCGGACCTTCCTTCACACCCGGCAGAGCCTGCTGCCCGCCCGGGCTACACCCTCCTCCTGTCCTCATCCTCCTAAACCGCCCCACCCCATCATCCCTAACACAGCAGCCAGACTAAGCCTTTACAGGTAAGTTAGGTCCTGTCAATGCCCCCCTCGAAAGCCTTCTACGACTCCCCAGTCCCTCCGTGGGCAGCCCAGGCTGCTCCCCAGAAACTTCTCTGCCCTCGTGCAATCTTGACCTCCCGTCACGCACAGCACATCCCCTCCATGGAGTCCTCCCACCACCCCCCGTGGCACTCCTGCCACGGCTCCAGTGCCTCCGTCCCTGGCCACCCGGCTGCAGACAGCAGCTGCACCGCTCCATTCTCCTGGCTTAGGCTGCCTGATGCCTCAGTACACGGGTGCTCTCTATCCTCCACAGGAACGGAAGCCCCAGGCTGGGCTTCTGCAGGTTTGTCACCTCCTTAGCCCTTCGCACAGTGCCTGGCCCACTGCAGGCACACAGCAGACCTTCTGGAATGTGAGAGGAACGGACGGACGGGGTGGTGGCTCACGTCCCTGTGCCTGGCACCCAGCAGGCACCGAGGAAGGGCCGTGAGGCGCGCACTCACCTCCCAGGAGCCTGTAGGCCATGCTGATGTTGGGGCAGAGGAACTGCACTGCCAGCTGGCGAAACTGGTGGAAGGTGCCCGGAGGCCAGTTCTCCCGAATTCGAAAGGAGGGCTCCCTGTCGGGGAAGCAGAGCTCCCGGGGTTTGAGGGAGCCACACGCCGGGAAGGAGGCGTTGATGAAGGAAAAGTAGATGCGGGCACAGCCTGGCCACTGGCATTCGCCCTCACGCAGGGGTGTGGGCAACAGGAAGACCTGGAGGTAGACGGTGAGCTGGGGGAAGCCGCCATCTGCAGAGAGAGCGGTCAGGGCCAGGGGTGTCAGTCACACCTCCAGGTGGCGTGGAGCAGGAAGGGGAGGCGGGAGCTCCAGGGGGTGTAAAGTCCAGTCCCCACTGTGGTCCTCGGGTCCTGCTGAGCTCTGACCTGGCTGTCACCTCCTGCTGCCCCCCACTGCCTGGACCTGGGGTCCGTCTGCTTCCTCTGCCTAGAGATTCATCACGGGCCAACCCTTCCTGTCAGTCAGGTCTCAGCTCAAACACTGCCCTCAGAGGGGGGCCCTGGCTGGGTCTAGCCCCAGGTGGAGGGCTTCCCGGGGCCTCCACACCCTCCCCGGCAGCTTCATCAAGGAGCCCCGGCAGAGACACACGCTGTGGACAGAGTACCTTGCACCTAGAGGTGGGATCTCCAGCGAATTCCATGATGGAGGCACCACAGTGACTCCCCTTCGAATGAGGTCTGGACCTCAGCTCGGTGGGGGACTTCTCTTGAACCCCTTCTCTCAGCAGAGGGCAGTGGCTGCCCCTTACGTCTCCATACTCATGACTTCTCTTTGCCTCTCACTAGCCTGTGTCTTTTTTGCCAGTCCCCCGTCATGGTTAGTAATTCTCTGTATAAATGTTCCCTGTTGAAATGTGTGTATGCGTTCTCCCCTGCCGGCCCCAGCAGTGCACGGGGCTGCTCTCCTGAAGAGGCCGCCGATGAGACGGTGCCCGTAGCAACTTCCACTCCGGCGTCCACCCCAAGCCCTGCTCCTCAAGTCCCCCCAGGGGCCTTGGGATGAAGATGATGGCAACTGTGTGCATAAACAAGACCCGTCTCAGATACCACCTCCTCCAGCAACTGTCTGGGCTGCCCTCTTTACTTGGGGACCCTCACTTCACTTGGCAAATGGGTGCAGTCATTCTGCCCTGCGGGGCAGTGACACCCACGGGTATTCATAAGCTGCCTGCCTCTCACCCGCGCACGGCAGCTCAGGGCTGGTGTGAGGGTCCAGCGGGGACCTACTGGGTGTGCAATCACCGTTTTGTGCCACAAGGCACAACCCTGCTTGCTTCACACCTTCCCTTGCCTGCACCAGGGTCACGCATGGCCTCCACCGGGCTCTGACCCCTGCTCTGAGGGCCTGGCCAGATCTTCCATCTGCTCCACTCTCCTCTCTGGCACCTGAGCCAGGTCCCCAGCAGGTGCCAAGAGCAGCTTCTGCTGACGGCGAGACAGGCTTTCTGAGAAACGTGCTGCTTCCCCGGCAAGTGCCAGATCATTTGCTAAATGGAAACCTTGGGCTTTTCCAGCCCCTCGTAACCCTCTCTCGTAGCCCCAAACCTTGTTAACCGGTAAAGGCATCTGGGTCCATTGTGGAGGGAGCACCCCATCCTTCACTCAGGTCCTTCCAAGTCCTGGAAGCAGGAGAAGGCCCAGGGCCATCAGCTGCCCCAAAACTTGTCCTGGCTCCCTCCCCAGGTCAGTCTCCTTCACTCTCACACAGCAGAGTCCCCCCTGAGCCTCAGCGTGGGTGCGCCGTGGGCATGGGGGGAGGAGGCGGGGAAGGGCAACCTTACTGCGTATGTTGAGCTTCTCCCAGGAGCTGTGGTTCAGGCTCCAGTTCAGGTAGAGAAGGCCCGTGTCCTCCTGGATGCGAATCCAGTCGTTCCCGTGCAGCCGTTTGCGGTAGGCGCCGTAGAGGTGCTGGCCGAGGCGGAAACTGGGCACCTCATCGGGGGCGTCACGCAGGGCGTGCACGTAGAGCAGGGGCGTCCCGGCCGGTTGGTCCACGTACAGCTTCTCCCAGTAAGCGTCCCTGGAGAAGTAGAGTCCCAGCGGGGCTGCGGGGAGCAGGGAATCGCGTGAGGGAGGGGGAGAGGCGGTGATGAAGCCAGGGGCAGGCCTCCGAGGCACACTGGCATTCCCGGCGGCTTCATTTCACACTTGGATAAAAGATTCCCATGGGCAAAAGAAACTCACTCATTTAAAACTCTGAACCGAGTAGGACTTTTCATCTGCA